CAAACCCACCAGCCACTCCTCGGAAGGAAGATGGGGCAATCTACTTCTGTAGTGATACTGCCTCGGAAACCCAAGGAGGGGTCGCTATGAGTCGGTCCGACTCGACGGCATATAATAACAACAACATCCCATTTTACAGATAAGAAAACTAAGGCTCAAAGAGTCAAAGCAACTTGTATAAGTTTACATAGCTAATCAACAGTGGGCTTGGAGCTAAATTTCAGGTCTCTCTGACCTCATAGCTTATATTCTTAATGAGTTTGCTATCTTCCCAGGCCCTTCCCCTCCAGAGACCTCAGGGAGGTTGTTTAGGGACCCCTGTTTATTTTTCTTTCTCCCGAGACAAAATATTTCAGGACAGATAAAAGGGCATGTATGGGATCTTTGAAACTGAGGCCATTTGTATATCCTTTGGCACAGTGGTTAAAGCACTCAGCTGCTAACCAGAAGTGGTTCAAACCACCAGATGCTTCAGGAGAGAAGAAAGATGAGGCAGTTTGTTTCCATAAACATTTATGGAAACCCTCTGAGGCAGTTCTGTTCTGTCCTATAGAGTCACTATTAGTCAGAATCAACTCGATGACAATGAGTTTGTCTTTCGCTTAAATCCACAAGATGTTTCTTTGTGGTAAAGAATCATTTATGCATATTGGAGGTTTGGGACAGTTTGAAATAGGTAGATACTTCCTGGGCCGCAAAGGCAGTTCTTGAATCCCGAGAGCTACCCAGGTAAAAGCTGTGTAGCCATTGGGATGATGATGTTTTACTCAGTTGTAGGTTACCTTTAAATGCTCAGAACTTCCATTTCCATGTCATTTTAGGAAGGTGAGTTCAAGTTGCATGATATAGAGAGGTTAAGTGAATTGTCCAAGGTTTCATAGGAAGAGTGGGGCTCCCAATTTAATTCTCTTCCTTTTAGACTCTGCCAACATGTAAGTTCTTCTCTAATGAAAGTCACAGTAGACGAGTCTCTCTGACCTCATGGGTTATGTTCTCAGTGGCTTTGGTATCTTCCCAGACCCTTCCCCTCCAGAATTCCTTAGCATGTGACTTACAGGACTCACTGGCTTGGACGCTACCTTGTGCTGAGGCAGTGTGCCCAGGTTCTGGGAAGCCCACAGTCTCTACAGCTAATGAAGAAGGTGGCTTGTGCTTGGGGAATAGACTGTTACTTGATGGGTTGGAGAAGGGTCTCAATCTGAGAGACTCCTTCGGAGTTGCCAGGAAGCTAGATAGTAAAGCTGCATGTGTTGGTAAAACCTACACCTTCAGGCACAGGGACCCCGGGAGACTGCTTTCTCCCTCAGTGCTGCCCTTGTCATGTCCCAGACCAGGGCTGTGTGTGAGACTCCGATAGGGGCTTGTTCTTGAAGTCTGGGGTTGTGGTGAGAGAAGTCCCAGACTAGGAAAGTACCACTGGTGCTCTGAAGTCCAAAATGATCTGGGGCTCAGACCTGAGCTTCGAATGTCTTCTTCCCCTGGAAATTAATGGGAAGTGATGAGGACAGGAGAAGACAGAGGCTGAATGAGCTGGCAAGCAACTTTCCCCTTAGTAAAAGAGCATAAAAGGGAGTAAGTCCACAAGAAAAGGCCCAAGAGGAGGAGGAGGTGGCAATGGACAGTAGCTCACAAGAGGAGAGCTAAGACCATGCCCTCCCAGAGTCCAAGGAGTTAGTAGCTCAAAGGCTCTCTCTGATCTTACCTCCCTGCAGCAAACTGGATTTTAGTAGGAAAGGAAAAGTCCCTGTTCTGAGTGAGATCTTAGACTTTGCATTCTGCCCTAATGAGAGGAGTAAGCTCAGAAGATCAAGACATTTTTACCTGAGGCCTGAGACTCAGGAAATGTCAGAGGTATATGGTTCTTTATTTCTTCATGGAAATTTTGGCACCTGACATAGCATTTGTCTTTTGGCACCTGACACCCCTCAGGGAAGACTGGGACCAGGTTGTTGGGTCATAGGCATTACTGAGGCTGCCAGATTTCAGGGCCAGGAAAGCATATTACTTTATTCTGCCTCATTCCTGGGGGCTGGTTCCATCTTTAAGGGAATTATGCCTTTTTCTGGGCTTGAGCCATTCATTTCTGAGCCAAGACCTTGGCTGTAGATATCCCAGCCACGAGTGCAGCCCACGTGCAGGAAAGGGCCAGATTACTTTGTGGGTGACTGCAGTTGCTGGGTACCAATTCTGCTGCCTGCAGAGCTGACAGAAGGAATTAGAAGCAGAGGTGTCAGCCTGTACTAAGGTCTGTGGGACACAGCCAGGTGAAGTGACCTTGTGGAGCTGGGTGACTGGAGGGAAGGCGCCTGAGCCAGCAACCTAAGCCAGACCTTTGTCCCGGCTGTCCCTTCTCCCCAGACTCGGAGCCTGTGCCATAGGGACACAGGCTTTCCCTGTGCTCTCGAACCCTCTTCTCTTCTGAGGGGCTTGGCAGACAGAAGTGACTTCCACCAAGTCAAGTCTGGCACAAGACAGGACTAGTGAGGGCAACAGCCTGGCGGCACCTTTACCACCTTAATGAACCCATCCTCAGTCCCTCTGCTCAGCCCTGACTCTAGCTTATTCTCTTCCCACTCACCTTCTGTGAGAGCTAAGCCCACCTCATCATTCACTCATTCCCACCAAGCTCCCTACCAAGCAAGGAGCTCTTTATATTGTTGAGTTTCCTCCCAGGGCTGATCAAGTTTGCAAAGTAGCTGTCACTCAGATTCCCAGAGTAAGCAGTCCCTCTCCTGGCTTCCTTTCTGTCCAGCTCATGTGATGTAGTGCCTCTCCCCCTAATAGTCCTAGTCTTCGATTCATAGTCTTATGTGCCAAAGTCTCAGGCCTGGCCAAGGTATCCCCTTCCTTCTGGAACCACAGAGATCCAAGGTCCCACACACCCAGAAAGTCAGAGAGAGGCATTGTTGGGGAGAGACCCGCTCATCAGAACAAAATAGGATGAGGTTAGCTCTAGCTTGTCTAGAAAACGTGAAGGCTGGGATGTTCCCAGAAAGGGAGAAGTAGGCAGACATTGGCCAGGCCTCAATCAGTAACTGCGACAGCCTGACCAGAGAAAACTTCAGGATAGGGCTGAGCATACGCTTATGGTACCAGGGATACTGGTGAGCTCAGAGACGCCCTGTTCTGTCGCCTCTTCCCCATGCTCTTGTACCAGACCCAGAGTAAGCTGCCTAGGTGACCAGGCGGGGCCGGTAGGAAAGGCAGGGAACGGGGGAGATTAGAAAGTGTTCCTAGAACCTAAGGACCTACTCCCTATGGCCAGGTTTTTGTTCTAGGTGGCAAGTAGTAAGCAAGAAGCTCTGGTGGCACAATGGTTAAAAGCACTTGGCTGCTAACCAAAAGGTCAGCAGTTTGAACCCTCCAGCCACTCTGCAGAAGAAAAGACTTGGCAATCTTCTCCCATAAAGATTAAGTTCTGACTGTCATCCTGGGCTGCTCTGAGTCTGAACAGACTCAGCAGCACCCGAGAACAACACAGCGTGGGCAGGTCCCGTGGGAGTGTCATCCTAGGCTGGATCTGACCCAGGAAGGGTGGAGGGGCCAGATGGCCTGGGGTTACTTGGCCTGAGCCCTCCCTGGTCCTTGACTTCCCCCAGGTGCTGGAGGTAGTACGAGCCAACTATGACACGCTCACACTGAAGCTGCAGGATGGCCTGGACCAATATGAGCGCTACTCGGAGCAGCACAAGGAAGCTGCGTTTTTCAAAGAGCTGGTGAGTCTGCCCCTCCTCCTCTGTCTCTTGGGGCCCCTGTCCCAGCCCTCGGGCTCTGCTGCACAGGTGGACATGTAGGGAAAGACGGCAGTTTGCCAAAGGCTGAGCAAACAAGATTTGAGGGGTCTGCTGCGATGAGGCAGCACAACTTCTCTCCAAAGCAGTCCAAGACCTAGCAGTGAGAGAAGAGCCTGTTCCCCAGGGTACTGGTGCCAGGCTGGGAAGGTGAGAAGCCTGGGGTAGCATTCATTGCCCACCTCTCCTCTACAGCCATGGAAACAGCCCTCGTGCTTCCAGCTGGGCCTGGGGTTTGACGTGTGTTCCCAGCGGCAGCTTTGGCTCATTACTTCTTATCCTGTCCTCAGAGCAACTAAGGAGAATAACTGACCCTTCTTCTCCTTATGCAGTCGCTTCTTTATCAATTCCTTGTTGGCTCCTAGTCTTGAGCACCCTCCGATGGAGTTGTCCGTCTTTCCTTTCACTCCCTACACCCGCCCCCGCTTTCCAGTCACTCAGTGTCCTGCAGCCCCAGCCTTGGCCATCTGGAGCCAGTGGTCACTTGCTCTGCCTCCTCCTCCACCTTCAGTCAGCATCTTCACAGAACTGGATTTTCCCTATTCATTGTCCCTTTCCAGCTCAGAGCTGCTCCCTGCCTAGTGACTTCATTAAGTCCCCCATAACAAAGCAGAAATTAAAGGAAAGCTCCCTGGACTGAGGGGCCCACGACAGAGAAAGATTCTTTCCTTCTTCGTCCCCACTAACATGTATGTTGCCTGGCACACAGCATACACTCCTGTTGCTGTGGACAAATCTCCTTTCAGAGTCACCTGGAATCCTCTAGGGACTCACTCAGAGTAGAGAGTCTGGCCCTCTGGCCCCTTCCTCAGGGGTCTTTCCCGGAGCTGACACAGGCAACACTTCTTCAAGGCTGTCAGTCTGTGGGCACAAAGTGTGTGAGGTGAACAGTGGGGACACAGCCAGGATCTATCGCAGACTCTCCTCTGTGTGGTATGGAAAGAGTATTGGGCTAGGAGTTAGGAAAGCTGAGTCCTGCTCCCAAGTCTGGGACTCATCGTCTCCATGACCTGATCTGCTTATTGGCCTCCTTGGGCTGCATCTCTAAAAAGCTCCTTCCAACTAGAAAACTTAACACACACCCAAGAGGAGGGTGAGAAGACTAGAAACCCATCTGAAGAGAGGCAGACTCAGAGCGTGAGTCCTCTGGGATAAAAGAAGTGGCCCCTGCCTCAGTTTTTCTTCCTGCACAGACCCCTGACTTCTGCATGGCTAAGCAAAGGTGAAGACCTGACCTTGGCCATGCCTGCTTCCAGCTCCTCCGTAATTCAGCTGTTCCTGTGCATCTTCTAGAATTTCTTTGTCTCTCAGCCCCTCTTCCTTCCTTCCTGCTTTTCGTGCCTTCAGAGTTCATTTCCTGAAAGAGAAGCTTCCAGCTTTGCATCTTGGCCCGTGCTGCAGGCACTGCCTTCTACTGGTTGTAACCGATTCTCTCCTGTTTTCTCTCTGCTTGTGCCCTCCACCTTTCCCCACCCTTTTCCCAGGTTCGATCCATTAGCACCAACGTCCGGAGAAACCTGGCCTTCCACACGCTCAGCCAGGAGGCCCTGCTCAAGGAGTTCTCCACCATTTCCTGAGGCCATGCCCATCTGAGCAGCCACTTACTGCTCTTACCCCAAGGCTCCTGGGCTGGAGGGAAAATGAGGGGAGAGAAGGCTACCCCCAGGATTGGAGAAAAGCACAGATAATGAATTCTCTCCATGAAGACCACACTTTGAGTGGTGCTTGGACAGCAGGGGCCAGACAGGGCAAGCCAGGGTTAATCTCATCTGGGGAGGGATGGGTAGGCACAGAGAAGCCTCCAAGAATGTGAGGATTTCCAGAGTGTGCATCTGCACACACCTTCACATTTCTAATTGACATTATAAGTTGTTGCCATTGACTTAATATTCAGGAGCTGGTCAGGCAAGCCCCAGTAAAGCCAACACCATGAGAATCAATGGCTTTCCCAGGCTTTTGAAAATAGACCAACTCTCAGATGAAGCTGGAGCCACATCCTGCTTCCTTTTGGCCTGGGGCTGAGCTGGATTTACAGTCTGCGTCCCATTTCCACTGGCACTGTGTCCAGTCTTTGGGACCACTAGCTCAGGCTCAGGGTAGGATAGGAATGGGGTGCCTTTTGCCTTTTTTTCTAAATCAAGAGCTGATTCCTCGGGAAGACTGGAGATTAGAATCTGCCCAATACTGTGCTGTCTGGCCACCCCTTTCTGCATTTGAGTTTTGGCCACCAGGATCACCTGTTGACTTGCCCCCCTTCCAGCTCTCTCATCAGCACAGTAGGGTCACAACCTTAGCTTTCCTTTTTAATCTGTTTTGAACTGTCTTTAGGGTGTGTGTGTGTGTGAGAGAGAGAGAGAGAAATAAACATTGACAGGTTTTCTGGAGCCCTCAGGTGCCTACTTTGCTAGTTCTCTTCCCAGCAGCTTCCCCACCTCCCTATCCAGCCCCTCCTCTGGGACTTCTCCTGCCTCTCCTGAGCTCCCCTCCACGTGTCCCACCCCCTCACCCGGCTGTTGTTTACATCTAGCCTGCCTGAGAATTTCCTCTGGGGAGGAATCTTTCCTGCTGTGGTCTGGTGCCTGGGAAGAAGAAAACCTGCCTGGGGGCAGGGTGCCCTCCATCTGAAAGAGGCCAGATGAACATCACAGATAGGGCCTCCTATCCACCACCCTGTGTTCTGGGCGGGTCTGTTAGATCTGCCTTTGGGAAGTTGGCCTTTGAGTCTTCCTTTGGATAGCCTCCATGGGACCACCGTAGGACTTCCTCACCCCACAGCTGCCTCAGGAGTATCTGCTGCTCTGAGATCCTGTCTTTCTATGTTGTTGTTGTTGTTGTTTGCCGTCTAGTCGGGCCGACTCATAGCGACCCCTCCTTGGGTTTCCGAGGCAGTATCACTACAGAAGTAGGATTGCCCAACCTTCCTTCTGAGGAGTGGCTGGTGTCTTTCTATAGCACTTGCTAAAGTTCTCAGGAGGCAGGGAGCAAACAGCCCAAGAGGGATTCGGGAATGAGTGCAGGGACTCAACAGTGAGAGCGGGTTTGGGACCTCCCCAGCTGCTATTCCACTTAGCCTCAAATCTCTTTGGGATCCTGGCCTGGCCTGGGAACCGGAATTCTGACTCCAACACAGCAAATCTGTATTTGTTCCAGAGAAGCCACCAGCACGCCACTGAGTACAGGGTAGACCCTGAAGACACCAGGGGTTGGATCATCTCTGATCACTAGGTGGAGGGTAGACACTGAAGAGGTCGGGGAATTGGGTCATGTCTGATCACTAGATGGATGGCCCAGCCTGGGGCAATTAGTGTTTTCCACAGCGATAAACCTCCGGGGAGCTGGCACCGGAGCTGGTGGCAAGTTGATGTTATTAAAAATTCATTTGTATGGGACATTCTTTTTAGTGTCTTTTTCTTCTCTTCTTCTTCTTCTTTGTTGCCCAGAACTCATTTATCAAAGACACTGTTAAGGTTACCTCTCAGGCGCTGGTCCTGTCTAGCTAGGGAACCCCTGCCTATCCTTACAGTTGCTCCTTTTCTGCATTTCCTGGCCATTTCAAAGACTTGTAGCCTCCCTCATTTAGTGGATGGAAGTGGGAAGAAGGGAGTTCCCTTCTCTCCAAACTTAATGATATTGAGGAGGCCAACCAGCCCATTTGGACCACTTCTGGATTCCTACCAGCCTTTCTTGTGGCCTGACCAAGGCCAGGTCTGAGGCATGGACCAATAAGCGGAAGACTCCTTGCCCAGAATTGTAAAGATCTATCTCCTGGCCCATTTCTTCACATATACTCATTCTGGGATCTGAGTAAGATTCCCATTCCCTCCTAGAAATCAGCCCCAGATGGGGCTCCGTCCAGGTCTTTGGAGCCTCTGACAGACTCCAGAGAGAGCCAGGAGCAGGGCATTGCTCCCAAAGTCAGGCCCCTTTCCTTGCTTGTCTCCCTCTCATTCCTGAACCCACACCACAGTTCCTGCTGGGCTGATGAACTCAAATGGCTGGAAATTGAATACAGTTGAAGAGATGAAATATACTGAGGTCACTTTAGCCAAAGTTCTTGGTCTTAGTAAGTCACTCCTCCAGAGGAGCTAGTGGGGCAGGCAGGGTTATCTGGGACACTGCCTTCATGTCATCCAGACATACCACCACCCCCATCCTCATGCTGGGTCGGGGACTCGGGCTGGAAACCCAGGAACCATTCTGGAGAAATTTAGACAAGTGCAGTTCAGCCATTCAGTAGTCATTCTTGAATGCCCAAGGGAGCTTGGCTCTGTGCTATCTCCTGACGTCAGGAGAGGAGTCAGTCTTGAGGGATGGGGGACTCCAGCGAGGGCATTTCTGATCCCACTCTGTGTCCTCACCTGGACCCTACAGCCTTTCTGTTGCTCTCCCAAACCTGCTGGAAAACAGGAGTCTAGGATGGGGTAGGTGTCAGAAAACAACAGAAAAGTTTAAGAAAGTGGGAGGAGGGCAGCAAGAAAGTCGAGAAACTGACTGTTCTGGTTCCTTGGTGCCACTCTGACAGGAATACACCACAAACGGGATGCTTTAACAAACAGGAGTTTATTCTTACAATTTGGAGGCTGTGAGACCAAGTTCAAAGTGCCAGGCTCTAGGGGCTGGGTGAAAGCTGCTCAATCTTGGGGTCCAGCTCTTGCCTCCTGCTCCTGGCCCACTGGAGCTAGAGGCATTTCTTCACTCAGACAGCTACTGGCTGCTGAGGCTGAGAAGCCCCCAAGGTTAATAAGTAAAGAGGCACAGTCCCGATGTTACCAAACCGTAGGCAGGCCATTAACTTAAGTCCATTGTTAAGTCCCAAGGTCGGCAGAGCATAGCTGGCTGCTGAGCAATGACATGGCAACATGCAGGGTCCAAGTGTGCCATAGGCTAGAGACCATTCCCCTCATATACAGGAAGCAGACCACATACCCAAAGACAGCTACCCAGTTGCTTGTGGTAGAGCCCACCATGGAGTTGATTGTCAGTCTCCTCATGGGGATTAACTACCACCAGCTGCCCAGCCACTGAACCAGGCCCAGCCAAGTTGACACACAAATCGAGCTACCACAACCTGGTTCACTCTTTCCCTTACCTTCCCACTTGGCGAGCTTGGGCCATCAGAGCAGGGAAGAAGGCACCCTGGAAGTGAATGGGACCAAGAGACAGGGTCCTGAGTTGGGTGATGGTTGGGGTGCTTCTGGAACTTGTGAAAAATCATAGCCCACTGGCCTGAGATAAGCCTGTATTAGAACCTGGGGCGATTTTTCTCTGCACCTCCGTTCCCCTTGGAGCAGGGCTGGAGGCTGGCTGGGGCCACAGAGACAGATAGACCAAAGAAGAGACAATGGGAAAACAGGACACAGAGTCCGGCAGGGAACTTACGAGACAGAGTCCAGGCTCTGACCAGGCCAGAGCCACCGTGGGGAGGAGAACCTAGGAATAGGGGCCGGGGTCTCCTCGCTGAGAAGCCTTTGTAACCACATTCCCTGCCCTCACTCCCCAGCCCCCGCAGCTCGGGTTTAGGGGCAAGTGTTGCTAGAGAAGCAGCCCCCCTTCCCGTACTTCCCAGCTCACTCCTTCCCCGGGTGCCTCCCCCGAGCTGCAAAGGGGAGGCGGGGTAGGGGGAACCAATCCCGGCAGTGCCGGAGGGGGAGGCAGCGGTGACAGCCGCGGGGAGGGGGCGGGAGGAGCGAGGCGGCTCGGCTTGGCTCCGCGCTCAGCAGCTCAGCTCCGCTAGGGCTCTGGGTCTGCGCTCTCCAGCTACCCAAGCCTCCCACTTCTGCCCCAGTGTTCCCTACCTAGACCCAGCCCCTGGCCCTGGCCCCAGACTCTAACCCCAGCCCCGACTCTCCTGACTCCCAGCCCCAGCCCCGGCAGCGCGCTACACCGCCAGGGGGCGCCTTGTGAGCGCCTGGCCCCAGCCACCCGGCGCCCCCTCCCCCGGCCCAAGCGGGACGGGAGGGGGTCGCCGGGGGCGATGCGGGGCCAGGGCCGCAAGGAGAGTCTGTCCGATTCTCGAGACCTGGACGGCTCCTACGACCAGCTCACGGGTAAGTTGGTAGCACGGGGGTCGCAAGAGGGAGGGTGGATTCTATCCCCCTAGATCCTTAAGCCTCTCTGACCCGACCCGCCCTGCTCCCTTCCGTCCAGCCCACACTCTGCCCCATCCCCAGTCACCCTCCAAGCTGGTCTGGGCAGCAGGACACTGAGGTTCAACCTCCGTTGTTGGGGGTTGGGGGTGGCAGGTGGGGAGAGGCAGCAGGTATGGGCATGTGTGACACAGGACTGGGAGGGTGTCTGGAGTGGGAGGTGTTATGTGCATGAGTGCCTGTCATTCTTTGTATGTCTCTGTGTCTCTGTGTGTGTACTTCCCATCTGGTTGCCATGTGCCCTGTGGCCTTGGTGACAACCAGAGTGAATGTGGTTGCATTCGGCCAGTTGCATGTAGCCATGCAATTGTGTGTTCTTGTCAGATGTTTGAGTGTGGTTGTGTGGGATCCGATCGTATAGATGAGGTTGTTTTGACTATGTGTGTCTGTCGTATGTGCCACTATGTTCTTTGAGTGTGTGATTCTGTATGAAGCGGTACGTGACTACCAGAATGTGTCAGAGCTTGACTTTATTGTGGAGTGCCTCATTGTAAGACTTTATGATTGTGAACCTCCTGAGGTGAGCTTTGTGAAAGTGTGTTGTGCTGTGTTTTGTAATTAAGAGACTATGTGGGTTATATTGACATTGGCTGCTAATTGTGTACTTTTGTGTAGTGATGTCTGCAGTGGGACTGTGTGAGTGTCCATGACATGTCTTACCCTTGCTGCCTCTCTGGCTTCCTGGTGCTGATTGGGGGGTTCTTTAGTGAACCCCACTGGTTACCCAAGTTTTCCACAAATAGCCCAGGTGGATCCAAGGAAGGGGTTGTAGTGTCCAGCTGCCCAGCCTGTCTCCCAGGAGCACCCCGTTGGCCCAGCACCTGGCCCTTGTGGGGAGGCTTTGGTTAGTAATGAATCGGCCCCAAAAAAGAAGTACCCAGAGATCATTCTTAAAACTGAAGCTGCTTCAATCCCCAAAACTCTTCCGGAACTTCACCCCAACCCTGAGGAAAATACATCTTCTTTCCCTCCCTTCAGATTCAGAGATAGGCCTGGGGGGTGTCCTGTTACCTCCCCTTATGTGGTCTCAAACCACTTGGCTGTCCCGAGCCTGTTTCCTCTGTGGGAAGGTCTGTCAGGACTGTAGGTTGTACATGGGTATATTCCTGGGTTTGGTAAGTGGCTCCATGTGTCTGTGTAGGTGAAGATGTCACCTTGTGTACATCTCCATGGACTTGTGTGTTTGTCTCTCATTTTGCATCCTGCCCAAGAACTCAAACAGAGTATGAGAGGAGGGACTTTGTCTCCTTTGTGGCTAAAATAAAGCCAGCCAGAGGGGAGAGGCTGTGATCCTCGTCTTACCTGAGGGGAATGAGGTTAATTAAGACTTGAGGACGGAGGAGGGAACTAGGATGTGGTGCCTGGAGACCTAGTCAAACCGTGAGGAGGTCCTGGTCAATATGCCAAGACACCTAGAAAGGAGAGTTCTGCTCCCAGGCAGGCCCCAGATATGAAAGAGACCAGATCTCAGTGCCTCAACCTGGATGGGACCCAGAGGTCCAGCTGTCCAGTTCTGCTCTCAACTCTGTTCCCACCACCAGCTCAGGGTCCTGGAGAGTACTGAGGCCCCAAGGCCGTCATTAGCACCTCATTAGTCAGTGTTTGCTTCCTTCTTTAACTGATTCTTCCCATTAGTGAAATCTCCTCTCCCCACTTGGCTGTTTGAAGCTGCTACTGGGTGGGGGTATGTAGACACTTGTATTGGAAGGTGCACTGCCTTAAGGGTTAGGAGTGAGAGTGTACCGGCTCTGGGTGACTTTTTCCTCTCTGGGCCTCACTTTTCTCATGTGTAAAAGGGAGCATTCTACCTCATGCGTCCCTGCTCCTGAGGGAAATAGAAGGATCAAACATTGGCAAGCGTCAAGAATCATGGTACAAGCCATCAGCATCCTTGCTGTAGATAGCTCCACAGACAACTTGGAAAATAGAAATAGGGCTACCAGGCTTATCTAATAGCTGGAGACAATGGAGTTGAGATGTCAAAGTAAATGAAAAGTCCTGGCCAGGGTGGCTGGGGCTCCTGGAGCCAAACTGGCAGAGGGGAAAATGCCTGACTTAGAGTCGTTGTCCACGGTGCTGAAGTTCACGCTGGACTGAGGTACAGCCTGGCCTTCCGTGTTCTCAAACGGAAGAAGCAGTCAAGAAATCAAATGAACTATTGCATTGAGCACGTCTGCTGCAAAGGACCTCTTTAAAATACTACAAAGCAAAGATACCACTTTGAGGACTAAGGTGTGCGTGACCCAAGCCCTGGTATTTTCAAGTACCTCATATGGATATAAAAGCTGGACAATGAATAAGGAAGACCAAAGAGGAATTGATGCCTTTGAATTATGGTGTTGGTGAAGAATATTAAAAAGACCATAGGCTGCCAGAAGAACGAACAGATCTGTCTTGGAAGAAGTTCAGGCAGAATGCTCCTTAGAAGCAAGGATGCCAAGATTTCATCTCATGTACTTTGGACGTGCTATTAGGTGGGATGAGTCCCTGGAGAGGGACATCATGCTTGGTAGAATGTCAGCAAAGAAGAAGTAGACCCTCATTGAGATGGATGGACGCGGTGGCTGCCACAATGGGCTCAAACACAGCTGTGACTGTACGGATGGTGCAGGACCCTACAGTGTTTCATTCCGTTGTGCAACTACAACAGGAGTCGTTGTCCGCGGTGCTGAAGCTAGGGCTGGGCAGTTGGGAGGCCCGGCTTTTCCAAAGTTCTGCTCCCTACCCACCTCATGCAAGTGGGATTCCCAGATCTGAGACAGCTTTCGTCATGCCAGCCCATCAGGCTGACAGGGAGGGCGTTCTGGGCCCACCAACCGCTTCCCTCCACCACTCTGATCTCGAGCTTTAAACAAAACTGAAGCGGCTCTTTATTTTGGGGGTGGCGGGGGATCCTAGTTCCCTTCCACTGCCCCCTCCATCCTCTCCAGTCTTGTCAGCCCGGCGAGTCCTCTTGGCAGTGCGATGGAGTGGAGAAAGGCAGCGATCAACAGCAGTCGGGTCCCAGCCGGAAGCAGAGAAAAGACCGCGCTGGCCAGGCCTGGGTCCAGTTTTCTGGACCCGGCACCTACAGAGTGCGGAGTCCGATCCCCTTGGTCATAATCACATCGTTCCCAGGACTTGGGCGCCCTCGTGTGGCTTAAAGGAGCCATGCGTGGGGAGCTGATTTCGGACAAGGACTGTGGCCAAGTCAAGCCGGCAAAATTTGGATGGATTTAGTAAGTGACTTCCGCCTGGAAAATGTAGGGTTTTCGGTCAGAAATACAGAATCCCAGTGGAGGGAGTGGGACTGTGTCCTCTCTCCTGAAGGCTCTGCTAGGAGTGTGAAGGGACTAGGAGATCCCGAAGGGGTTTACTTTAGGTGGCATAGTGCCTAAGGCATTTCACGCTAACCAGGAGGCTGGTGGTTCAAACCCACCAGCCACTCCTCGGAAGGAAGGTTGGGCGATCTACTTCCGTAGTGATACCGCCTCGGAAACCCAAGGAGGGGTCGCTGTGTGAGTCAGATCCGACCCCACGGCAATGAGTTGGGTTTAGTTTGGAGCAAGATAGGGATGAGCCCAAGAAAGGGGTTTAGGAGGGGGGCGGGGGGAGGCTGAGAGTGAGGGGCATCTTGGTGCATTTGTCTGGAAGCCAGCATATGATAATGTATGTAGTCTGTGAACCTGCTGGACCAGGACAGAGAGACACAAACAGAAACAGTTATGAGAGAGAGAGAGTTAGTTGGTGCCAGGAGACGAACCCGTAAGGGCGCATCTCTGCCACCTCTTCTTTGCTACCCCAATACACTGGGCTCTTCCTCCTCTTCCCTCCTGCTCTCTCCCCCATTGGTCTAGGAAGTATAGAAGTGTGGAGAGGTTGCTATGGCAACGATGTCCTTTTTACCCCTGCTTCCTACCAAAATGGGTGTGGTGGGGAGCGACAGGCAGAGAAGGGACCGAATAGAGGCGATAAATGCCAAGGGCGATTCCGCTGCAGCTCTTCCTTCAAATCCACTTCCCTGCCAGAAGTCCAGAAAACGTCGCCAGACAAGGCTGGGAGGAGAGTCCCCCTTCCCCATGCCTCCCACCCCAGTCTGCGAACTTTGGGGGCGGGTGTTTCAAACGATGGGGCCACAGTGAGCCTCCCTAGTGAAGGTAGGAGAGGCTCCCCGCCCCCCGCGAGGTCCTGCCGCTCCGGCCCTCCCGCTCCCCCCACGCAGGGCCCACTCGGATGGGGGCGGAGACCCGACGCCCCGGGCTTTGGGGGCGGAGCATGGCCACAGTGCTCTGGGCTCAACCATGAACCGATGCCCCGGCAGGTGCCGGAGCCCTTTGGGGCAGGCAGCGCGATCCCTCTACCAGCTGGTGACTGGGTCGCTGTCGCCAGGTATGAAGAAAGGGGGGGGGGCAAGACCCCTCAAATAATGGGCGAAGTGGGATAGGTGCCTTACAGAGGTGAGCCTTACAGAGGCCTCACAGAGATGGGGGGGGGGAGTACGATCACTCAAAGAACTGGGTTTAAGGAGTGAAGACCCCTCACAGAGGTGGACCAAGAGATAAGCTTGCTTCCAGAGGAAGGAGAGGAAATAGGATTTTTCAAAGAAGAAAGGAGAAGGGTCATGATCCCTCACAATCATGGGAGAGGGGCAGGGCTTCTCAT